CATCGACGTGGACATGGACATGGATGAGGACATGGACGTGGACGTGGACGTGGACGTGGACGTGGACATGGACGTGGACATGGACGTGGACATGGACATGGACGTGGACGTGGACATGGACGTTGACATGGACGTGGACATGGACGTGGACATGGACATGGACGTGGACATGGACGTGGACATGGACGTGGACATGGACGTGGACATGGACGTGGACATGGACGTGGACATGGACGTGGACATGGACGTGGACATGGACGTCGACATGGACGTCGACGTGGACGTGGACATGGACGTGGACATGGACGTGGACGTGGACATGGACATGGACATGGACGTGGACGTGGACGTGGACATGGACGTGGACGTGGACGTGGACATGGACGTGGACGTGGACATGGACGTGGACATGGACGTGGACATGGACCTGGACATGGACATGGACGTGGACATGGACGTGGACGTGGACGTGGACGTGGACATAGAGGTGGTCGTGGTCGTGGTCGTGGACGTGGACATGGTCGTGGACGTGGACATGGACGTGGACATGGTCGTGGACGTGGACATGGACGTGGACATGGTTGTGGACATGGACGTGGACGTGGACGTGAACATGGACATGGACGTGGACATGGACGTAGACATGAACGTGGACATGGACATGGACGTGGACATGGACGTGGAAATGGTCGTGGACGTAGACATGGACGTGGATATGGTCGTGGACATGGACGTGGACGTGGACGTGATCGTGGACATGGACGTGGACATGGACGTGGACATGAACGTGGACATGGACATGGACGTGGACATGGACGTGGACGTGGACGTGGACGTGGACATGGACGTCGACATGGACGTGGACATGGACGTGGACATGGACATGGACGTGGACATGGACGTGGACATGGACGTGGACATAGTCGTGGACGTGGACATGGACGTGGACGTGGACATGGACGTGGACGTGGACGTGGACGTGGACGTGAACGTGGACATGGTTGTGGACGTGGACGTGGAGGTGGACATGGTTGTGGACGTGGACGTAGACGTGGACGTGGACGTGGACATGGACGTGGACGTGGACGTGGACATGGACGTGGAATTGGATGTGGACGTGGACGTGGATATGGACATGGACATGGACGTGGATGTGGACGTAGACGTGGACATGGACGTGGACGTGGACGTGGACGTGGACGCGAACGTGGACGTGGACATGGTCGTGGACGTGGACGTGGACGTGGACGTGGACATGGACGTGGACGTGGTCGTGGACGTGGACGTGGACGTGGACATGGACGTGGACGTGGACATGGACGTGGACATGGCGTGGACGTGGACGTGGACATGGACGTGGACGTGGACGTGGACGTGGACATGGACGTGGACGTGGACGTGGACATGGACGTGGACATGGACATGGACGTGGAGGACTTGGACGTGGACATGGACGTGGACGTGGACGTGGACGTGGACATGGACGTGGACATGGACGTAGACATACACGTGGACGTGGACATGGACGTGGACATGGAAGTGGACGTGGACATGGACGTGGATGTGGACGTGGACGTGGACATGGACGTGGACGTGGACATGGACGTGGACATGGACGTGGACGTGGACGTGGACATGGACGTGGACGTGGACATGGACGTGGACATTGACGTGGACATGAACGTGGACATGGACGTGGACATGGACATGGACGTGGACATGGACGTGGACGTGGACGTGGACATGGTCGTGGACATGGACGTGGACGTGGACGTGAACGTGGACATGGACGTGGACATGGACGTGGACATGGACGTGGACATGGACATAGACGTGGACATGGACGTGGACGTGGAGGTGGACGTGGACATGGACGTGGACATGGACGTGGACATGGACGTGGACATGGACGTGGACATGGACGTGGACATGGACGTGGACGTGGACGTGGACGTGGACGCCGACGTGGACGTGGACGTGGACGTGGACATGGACGTGGACATGGACGTGGACATGGACGTGGACATGGACGTGGACATGGACGTGGACATGGACGTGGACATGGACGTGGACGTGGACGTGGACGTGGATGTGGACGTGGACGTGGACATGGACGTGGACATGGACGTGGACATGGACGTGGACATGGACGTGGACGTGGAAGTGGACGTGGACGTGGACATGGACGTGGACATGGACGTGGACATGGACGTGGACGTGGACGTGGACATGGACGTGGACGTGGACATGGACGTGGACGTGGACATGGACGTGGACATGGACGTAGACATGGACGTGGACATGGACATGGACGTGGACATGGACGTGGACGTGGACGTGGACATAGAGGTGGTCGTGGTCGTGGACGTGGACATGGTCGTGGACGTGGACATGGATGTGGACATGGTCGTGGACGTCGACATGGACGTGGATATGGTCGTGGACATGGACGTGGACGTGGACGTGAACGTGGACATGGACGTGGACATGGACGTGGACATGAACTTGGACATGGACATGGACGTGGACATGGACGTGGACGTGGACGTGGACATGGACGTCGACATGGACGAGGACATGGACGTGGACATGGACGTGGACGTGGACATGGACGTGGACATGGACGTGGACATGGTCGTGGACGTGGACATGGACGTGGACGTGGACATGGACGTGGACGTGGACGTGGACGTGAACGTGGACATGGTTGTGGACGTGGACGTGGAGGTGGACATGGTTGTCGACGTGGACGTAGACGTGGACGTGGACGTGGACATGGACGTGGACGTGGACGTGGACTTGGACGTGGACGTGGACGTGGACATGGACATGGACGTGGATGTGGACGTGGACGTGAAGGTGGACATGGACGTGGACGTGGACGTGGACGTGGACGTGAACGTGGACGTGGACATGGTCGTGGACGTGGACGTGGACGTGGACATGGACGTGGTCGTGGACGTGGACGTGGACGTGGACATGGACGTGGACGTGGACATGGACGTGGACATGGACGTGGACGTGGACGTGGACATGGACGTGGACGTGGACATGGACGTGGTCGTGGACGTGGACGTGGACGTGGACATGGACGTGGACGTGGACATGGACGTGGACATGGACGTGGACGTGGACGTGGACATGGACGTGGACGTGGACATGGACGTGGACGTGGACATGGACGTGGACATGGACGTAGACATGGACGTGGACATGGACATGGACGTGGACATGGACGTGGACGTGGACGTGGACATAGAGGTGGTCGTGGTCGTGGACGTGGACATGGTCGTGGACGTGGACATGGATGTGGACATGGTCGTGGACGTCGACATGGACGTGGATATGGTCGTGGACATGGACGTGGACGTGGACGTGAACGTGGACATGGACGTGGACATGGACGTGGACATGAACTTGGACATGGACATGGACGTGGACATGGACGTGGACGTGGACGTGGACATGGACGTCGACATGGACGAGGACATGGACGTGGACATGGACGTGGACGTGGACATGGACGTGGACATGGACGTGGACATGGTCGTGGACGTGGACATGGACGTGGACGTGGACATGGACGTGGACGTGGACGTGGACGTGAACGTGGACATGGTTGTGGACGTGGACGTGGAGGTGGACATGGTTGTCGACGTGGACGTAGACGTGGACGTGGACGTGGACATGGACGTGGACGTGGACGTGGACTTGGACGTGGACGTGGACGTGGACATGGACATGGACGTGGATGTGGACGTGGACGTGAAGGTGGACATGGACGTGGACGTGGACGTGGACGTGGACGTGAACGTGGACGTGGACATGGTCGTGGACGTGGACGTGGACGTGGACATGGACGTGGTCGTGGACGTGGACGTGGACGTGGACATGGACGTGGACGTGGACATGGACGTGGACATGGACGTGGACGTGGACGTGGACATGGACGTGGACGTGGACGTGGACATGGACGTGGACGTGGACGTGGACATGGACGTGGACATGGACATGGACGTGGAGGACTTGGACGTGGACATGGACGTGGACGTGGACGTGGACATGGACGTGGACGTGGACGTGGACATAGACGTGGACGTGGACATGGACGTGGACATGGAAGTGGACGTGGACATGGACGTGGATGTGGACGTGGACGTGGACATGGACGTGGAGGACTTGGACGTGGACATGGACGTGGACGTGGACGTGGACATGGACGTGGACGTGGACGTGGACATAGACGTGGACGTGGACATGGACGTGGACATGGAAGTGGACGTGGACATGGACGTGGATGTGGACGTGGACGTGGACATGGACGTGGACGTGGACATGGACGTGGACATGGACGTGGACGTGGACGTGGACATGGACGTGGACGTGGACATGGACGTGGACGTGGACATTGACGTGGACATGGACGTGGACATGGACGTGGACATGGACATGGACGTGGACATGGACATGGACGTGGACGTGGACGTGGACGTGGACATGGTCGTGGACATGGACGTGGACGTGGACGTGAACGTGGACATGGACGTGGACATGGACGTGGACATGGACGTGGACATGGACATGGACGAGGACATGGACGTGGACGTGGACGTGGACATGGACGTGGATATGGACGTGGACATGGACGTGGACATGGACGTGGACATGGACGTGGACATGGTTGTGGACATGGACGTGGACATGGACGTGGACATGGACGTGGACATGGACGTGGACATGGACGTGGACATGGACGTGGACATGGACGTGGACGTGGACGTGGACATGGACGTGGACATGGACGTGGACATGGACGTGGACATGGACGTGGACGTGGACATGGACGTGGACATGACGTGGACATGGACATGGACGTGGACACGGACGTGGACATGGACGTGGACATGGACGTGGACATGGACATGGACGTGGACATGGACGTGGACATGGACGTGGACATGGACGTGGACATAGACGTGGACGTGGACGTGGACGTGGACATGGATGTGGACATGGACGTGGACATGGATGTGGACATGGACGTGGACGTGGACATGGACGTGGACATGGACGTGGACATGGACATGGACGTGGACATGGACGTGGACATGGACGTGGACATGGACATGGACGTGGACATGGACGTGGACATGGACGTGGACGTGGACATAGAGGTGGTCGTGGTCGTGGATGTGGACATGGTCGTGGACGTGGACATGGACGTCGACATGGGCGTGGACGTGGACATGGACGTGGACATGGTCGTGGACATGGACATGGACGTGGACGTGAACGTGGACATGGACGTGGACATGGACGTGGACATGGACGTGGACATGGACATGGACGTGGACATGGACGTGGACGTGAACATGGACGTAAACGTGGACATGGACGTGGACATGGACGTGGACATGGACGTGGACATGGACGTTGACATGGACGTGGACGTGGACGTGGACGTGGACATGGACGTGGACATGGACGTGGACATGGACGTGGACATGGACGTGGACATGGACGTGGACATGGACGTGGACATGGACGTGGACATGGACGTGGACATGGACGTGGACGTGGACGTGGACATGGACGTGGATGTGGACATGGACATGGACATGGACGTGGACGTGGACGTGGACATGGACGTGGACGTGGACGTGGACATGGACATGGACGTGGACATGGACGTGGACATGGACGTGGACATGGACATGGACGTGGACATGGACGTGGACGTGGACGTGGACATAGAGGTGGTCGTGGTCGTGGTCGTGGACGTGGACATGGTCGTGGACGTGGACATGGACGTGGACATGGTCGTGGACGTGGACATGGACGTGGACATGGTCGTGGACATGGACGTGGACGTGGACGTGAACGTGGACATGGACGTGGACATGGACGTAGACATGGACGTGGACGTGGACATGGACGTGGACATGGACGTGGATGTGGACGTGGACGTGAACGTGGACGTGGACGTGGACGAGGACTTGGACGTGGACATATACGTGGACATGGACGTGGACATGGACGTGGACATGGACATGGACGTGGACATGGACGTGGACATGGACGTGGACATGGACGTGGACATGGACGTGGATGTGGACGTGGACGTGAACGTGGACGTGGACATGGTTGTGGACGTGGACGTGGATGTGGACATGGTTGTGGACGTGGACGTAGACGTGGACGTGGACGTGGACATGGACGTGGACGTGGACATGGTCGTGGACGTGGACGTGGACTTGGACGTGGACGTGGACGTGGACGTGGACATGGACATGGACGTGGACGTGGACGTGGACATGGACGTGGACGTGGACGTGGACGTGGACGTGGACGTGGACATGGTCATGGACGTGGACGTGGACGTGGACATGGACGTGGACGTGGACGTGGACATGGACGTGGACGTGGATGTTGACGTGGACATGGACGTGGACATGGTCGTGGACGTGGACGTGGACGTGGACATGGACGTGGACGTGGACATGGACGTGGACATGGACGTGGACGTGGACGTGGACATGGACGTGGACGTGGACGTGGACGTGGACATGGACATGGACGTGGACGTGGACATGGACGTGGACATGGACGTGGACGTGGACGTGGACATGGACGTGGACGTGGACATGGACGTGGACATGGACATGGACGTGGACATGGACGTGGACATGGACATGGACGTGGACGTGGACGTGGACGTGGACATGGACGTGGACGTGGACGTGGATGTGGACATGGTTGTGGACGTGGACGTAGACGTGGACGTGGACATGGACGTGGACGTGGACATGGTCGTGGACGTGGACGTGGACGTGGACTTGGACGTGGACGTGGACGTGGACGTGGACATGGACATGGATGTCGACGTGGACGTGGACATGGACGTGGACGTGGACGTGGACGTGGACGTGGACATGGTCATGGACGTGGACGTGGACGTGGACATGGACGTGGACGTGGACGTGGACATGGACGTGGACGTGGATGTTGACGTGGACATGGACGTGGACATGGTCGTGGACGTGGACGTGGACGTGGACATGGACGTGGACGTGGACATGGACGTGGACATGGACGTGGACGTGGACGTGGACATGGACGTGGACGTGGACGTGGACATGGACATGGACGTGGACGTGGACATGGACGTGGACATGGACGTGGACGTGGACGTGGACATGGACGTGGACATGGACATGGACGTGGACGTGGACGTGGACATGGTCGTGGACATGGACGTGGTCGTGGACGTGGACATGGACGTGGACATGGACGTGGACATGGACGTGGACATGGACATGGACGTGGACGTGGACGTGGACGTGGACATGGACGTGGACGTGGACGTGGATGTGGACATGGTTGTGGACGTGGACGTAGACGTGGACGTGGACATGGACGTGGACGTGGACATGGTCGTGGACGTGGACGTGGACGTGGACTTGGACGTGGACGTGGACGTGGACGTGGACATGGACATGGATGTCGACGTGGACGTGGACATGGACGTGGACGTGGACGTGGACGTGGACGTGGACATGGTCATGGACGTGGACGTGGACGTGGACATGGACGTGGACGTGGACGTGGACATGGACGTGGACGTGGATGTTGACGTGGACATGGACGTGGACATGGTCGTGGACGTGGACGTGGACGTGGACATGGACGTGGACGTGGACATGGACGTGGACATGGACGTGGACGTGGACGTGGACATGGACGTGGACGTGGACGTGGACATGGACATGGACGTGGACGTGGACATGGACGTGGACATGGACGTGGACGTGGACGTGGACATGGACGTGGACGTGGACATGGACGTGGACATGGACGTGGACATGGACGTGGACATGGACGTGGACATGGACATGGACGTGGACGTGGACGTGGACGTGGACATGGACGTGGACATGGACATGGACATGGACGTGGACGTGGACGGCGACGTGGACATGGTCGTGGACGTGGACATGGACGTGGACATGGTCGTGGACGTGGACATGGACGTGGACATGGTCGTGGACGTGGACGTGGACGTGGACCTGGACGTGGACATGGACGTGGACATGGACGTGGACGTGGACGTGGACATGGACGTGGACGTGGACATGGATGTCGATATGGACGTGGACGTGGACGTGGACATGGACGTGGACGTGGACGTGGACCTGGACGTGGACGTGGACGTGGACATGGACGTGGACATGGACGTGGACGTGGACGTGGACATGGACGTCGACGTGGACGTGGACATGGACGTGGACGTGGACGTGGACGTGGACGTGGAGGACTTGGACGTAAACATGGACGTGGACGTGGACATGGACGTGGACGTGGACATGGACGTGGACGTGGACGTGGACGTGGACGTGGACATGGACGTGGACGTGGACATGGACGTGGACGTGGACGTGGACATGGACGTGGACATGGACGTGGACATGGACGTGGACATGGACATGGACGTGGACATGGACGTGGACATGGACGTGGACATGGTCGTGGACGTGGACGTGGACGTGAACGTGGACGTGGACATGGTTGTGGACATGGACGTGGACGTGGACATGGTTCTGGACGTGGATGTAGACGTGGACGTGGACGTGGACATGGACGTGGACGTGGACATGGTCGTGGACGTGGACGTGGACGTGGACATGGACGTGGACATGGACGTGGACGTGGACGTGGACGTGGACGTGGACATGGACGTGGACGTGGACATGGACGTGGACGTGGACGTGGACGTGGACATGGACGTGGACGTGGACATGGACGTGGACGTGGACGTGGACGTGGACATGGACGTGGACGTGGACGTGGACGTGGACATGGATGTGGACGTGGACGTGGACGTGGTCGTGGACGTGGACGTGGACATGGACGTGGACATGGACGTGGACGTGGACGTGGACGTGGACATGGACGTGGACATGGACGTGGACGTGGACGTGGACGTGGACGTGGACGTGGACGTGGTCGTGGATGTGGACGTGGACATGGACGTGGTCTTGGACGTGGTCGTGGACGGTGACATGGACGTGGACATGGACGTGGACGTGGACGTGGACGTGGACGTGGACATGGACGTGGACGTGGACGTGGACGTGGACGTGGACATGGACGTGGACGTGGACGTGCACGTGGACGTGGACGTGGACGTGGACGTGCACGTGCACGTGGACGTGGACGTGGACATGGACGTGGACGTGGACGTGGACGTGGACGTGGACGTGAACGTGGACGTGGACGTGGACATGGACGTGGACGTGGACGTGGACGTGGACGTGGACGTTGACGTGGACGTGGATGTGGACGTGGACGTGGACATGGACGTGGACGTGGACGTGGACATGGACGTGGACGTGGACTTGGACGTAGACGTGGACATGGACTTGGACGTGGACGTGGACCTGGACGTGGACATTGACGTGGACGTGGACATGGACGTGGACGTGAACGTGGACGTGGACGTGGACGTGGACTTGGACGTGGACATGGACGTGGACATGGACGTGGACGTGGACGTGGACATGGACGTGGACGTGGACGTGGACATGGACGTGGATATGGACGTGGACGTGGACATGGACGTGGACGTGGACGTGGACGTAGACGTGGAGGTGGACATGGACGTGGACGAGGACATGGACGTGGACGTGGACGTGGACGTGGACATGGACGTGGACATGGACGTGGACGTGGACGTGGACGTGGACGTGGACATGGACGTGGACATGGACGTGGACGTGGACGTGGACGTGGACATGGACGTGGACGTGGACGTCGATGTGGACGTGGACGTGGACGTGGACGGGTACGTCGATGTGGACGTGGACGTGGACGTGGACGTGGACGAGGACTTGGACGTGGACATGGACGTGGACGTGGACGTGGACGTGGACGAGGACTTGGACGTGGACGTGGACGTGGAGATGGACGTGGACGTGGACCTGGACCTGGACGTGGACATGGACGTGGACGTGGACCTGGACGTGGACGTGGACGTGGACGTGGACATGGACGTGGACGTGGACATGGACATGGACGTGGACATGGACGTGGACATGGACGTGTACGTGGACATGGACGTGGACATGGACGTGGACGTGGACATGGACATGGACGTGGACGTGGACGTGGACATGGACGTGGACCTGGACGTGGACATGGACGTGGACGTGGAGGACTTGGACCTGAACATGGACGTTGACGTGGACGTGGACGTGGACGTGGACATGGTCGTGGACGTGGACGTGGACGTGGACGTGGAGGTGGACATGGATGTGGACGTGGACGTGGACTTGGACATAGACATGGACGTGGACGTGGACATGGACGTGGACGTGGACATGGATGTGGACGTGGACGTGGACACGGACGTAGACGTGGACGTGGACGTGGACGTGGACGTGGACATGGACGTGGACATGGACGTGGACGTGGACGTGGACGTGGACATGGACGTGGACGTGGACGTGGACGTGGAGACGTGGACGTGGACGTGGACGTGGACGTGGACGTGGAGGACTTGGACGTGGACATGGACTTGGACGTGGACGTGGACGTGGACGTGGACATGGACGTGGACGTGGACGTGGACGTGGATGTGGACATGGACGTGGACGTGGACGTGGACATGGTCGTGGACGTGGACGTGGAGGACTTGGACGTGGACATGGACGTGGACGGGACGTGGACGTGGACGTGGACGTGGACGTGGACATGGACGTGGACGTGGACGTGGACGTGGACGTGGACATGGACGTGGACGTGGACGTGGACGTGGACGTGGACGTGAACGTGGACGTGGACGTCGACGTGGACGTCGACGTGGACGTGGACGTCGACGTGGACGTCGACGTGGACGTGGACGTGGACATGGACATGGACGTGGACGTGGACGTGGACATGGTCGTGGACGTGGACGTGGACGTGGATATGGACATGGACGTAGACGTGGACGTGGACGTGGACGTGGACGTGGACATGGATGTGGACGTGGACGTGAACGTGGACGTGGGCGTCGACATGGACGTGGACGTGGACGTGGACATGGACGTGGACATGGACGTGGTCGTGGACGTGGACATGGACGTGGTCGTGGACGTGAACGTGGACGTGAACGTGGACGTGGACGTGGACGTGGACTTGGACGTGGACGTGGACGTAGACGTGGACGTGGACGTGGACGTGGACGTGGACGTGGACGTAGACGTGGACGTGGACGTGGACGTGGACGTGGACGTCGACATGGACGTGGACGTGGACGTGGACGTGGACGTCGACATGGACGTGGACGTGGACGTGGACGTGGACGTGGACATGGACGTGGACGTGGACGTGGAGGTGGACGTGGACATGGTCGTGGACGTGGACGTGGACGTGGACGTGGACGTGGAGATGGTCGTGGACGTGGACGTGGACATAGACATGGACATGGACGTGGTCGTGAACGTGGACGTGGACATGGACGTGGACGTGGACGTGGACGTGGACGTGAACGTGGACGTGGACGTCGACGTGGACGTGAACGTGGACGTGGACGTGGACGTGGACGTCGACATGGACGTGGACGTGGACGTGGACATTGTCGACATGGACGTGGACGTGGACGTGGACGTGGACGTCGACATCGACGTGGACGTGGACGTGGATGTGGACGTGGCATGGAGGTGGACGTCGACATGGTCGTGGACGTGGACGTGGACGTGGACGTGGACATGGTCGTAGACGTGGACGTTGACATGGTCGTGGACGTGGATGTGGACGTGGACATGGTCGTGGACGTGGACGTGGAGGACTTGGACGTGGACATGGACGTGGACGTGGACATGGACGTGGACTTGGACGTGGACGTGGACGTGGACGTGGACCTGGTCGTGGACGTGGACGTGGACGTGGACCTGGACGTGGACGTGGACGTGGACGTGGACTTGGACTTGGACGTGGACGTGGACGTGGTCGTGGACATGGACGTGGACGTGGACGTGGACGTGGACATGGACGTGGACGTGGACATGGTCGTGGACGTGGAGGTGGACGTGGACATGGTCGTGGACGTGGACGTGGAGGACTTGGACATGGACTTGGACGTGGACGTGGACATGGACGTGGACGTGGACGTGGACGAGGACGTGGACGTGGACATGGACGTGGACGTGGACGTGGACGTGGACATGGTCGTGGACGTGGACGTGGACGTGGACGTGGACATGGACATGGACGTGGACGTGGACATGGACGTGGACGTGGACGTGGATGTGGACATGGACGTGGACGTGGACGTGGACGTGGACATGGACGGGGACGTGGACGTGGACGTGGACATGGTCGCGGACGTGGACGTGGACGTGGAAATGGACCTGGACGTGGACGTGGACGTGGACATGGACGTGGACGTGGACGTGGACTTGGACTTGGAAGTGGACGTGGACGTGGACATGGTCGTGGACATGGACGTGGACGTGGACGTGGACATGGACATGGACGTGGACGAGGATGTGGACATGGTTCTGGACGTGGATGTGGACGTGGACATGGTCGTGGACTTGGACGTGGAGGACTTGGACGTCGACATGGACCTGGACGTGGACATGGATGTGGACTTGGACGTGGACGTGGACGTGGACGTGGACGTGGACATGGACGTGGACGTGGACGTGGACGTGGACGTGGACGTGGACATGGTCGTGGACGTGGACGTGGAGGACTTGGACGTGGACATGGACATGGACGTGGACGTGGACGTGGACGTGGACATGGACGTGGACGTGGACATGGACCTGGACGTGGACGTGGACGTGGACGTGGACATGGACGTGAACGTGGACATGGACGTGGACCTGGACGTGGACGTGGACGTGGACGTGGACCTGGACGTGGACATGGACGTGGACATGAACGTGGACGTGGACGTGGACGTGAACGTGGACGTGAACGTGGACGTGGACGTGGACGTGAACGTGGACGTGAACGTGGACGTGGACGTGGACGTCGACGTGGACGTCGACATGGACGTCGACATGGACGTGGACGTGGACGTGGACGTGGACGTGGACGTAGACATGGACGTGGACGTGGACGTGGATGTGGACGTCGACATGGACGTGGACGTGGACGTGGACGTGGACATGGACGTGGACGTGGACGTGGAGGTGGACGTGGACATGGTCGTGGACGTGGACGTGGACGTGGACGTGGAGATGGTCGTGGACGTGGACGTGGACATAGACATGGACATGGACGTGGTCGTGGACGTGGACGTGGACATGGACATGGACGTGGACGTGGACGTGAACGTGGACGTCGACGTGGACGTGGACGTGGACGTGGACGTGGACATGGACGTGGACGTGGACGTGGACGTGGACGTCGACGTCGACGTCGACGTCGACGTGGACGTGGACGTGGACGTGGACGTGGACGTGGAGGTGGACGTGGACGTGGACGTGGAGGTGGACGTGGACGTGGACGTGGACATGGACGTGGACATGGACGTGGACGTGGACGTGGACGTGGAGATGGTCGTCGACGTGGACGTGGACATGGACATGGACATGGACGTGGTCGTGGACGTGGACGTGGATGTGGACATGGATGTGGACATGGACGTGGACGTGGACGTGGACGTAGACGTGGACGTGGACGTCGACGTCGACATGGACGTGAACGTGGACGTGAACGTGGACGTGAACGTGGACGTGGACGTGGACGTGGACGTGGACGTGGACGTGGACATGGACGTGGACGTGGACATGGACGTGGACGTGGATGTGGACATGGACGTGGACGTGGACGTGGACGTGGACGTTGTGGAGATTAACTCTACAACGGTAGTTAGCTAGACTACAGGGGTTGGCACGAACTACTAGAGGTGATCTTAGCTTTGCTTAGTTCCTTAGTGTTTGCACATTCATGGAAGAATTTGGCAAGAGGTTTCACTAGCAAAGTTGGAATTCCAGAATAATCAAGAAGCAATGACAACAATGACTACATCAGGCACCTAGCAACCCTGCAGCTAGCCTGGTCGACTGCAAGCGCAGCTCGGTCGACCGCCTGCCAGCATTGCGTAGAGGAGCCGCGCCAGCACTGCAGAAGGGCGACCTGCCAACAAAGCAGGTCGACGGCGTGCCCCGTAGAACACAGCAGTGCGCGCGCTCGCAGGTGTGCGCAGACGATTGGTCCGACTTGCCTCGTTGGGCATCCGTCGGCTCTTGTCTGCGCCTGACGAGCCACATCGACTTCGGGATACCAGCCCGAAGTCGCCTGCGCCATCGCGATCTCGACGGCATTCGCGTGCCTCCGCAGAACTCGTCGAGCAGGTTACCCGGTCGACCTGGTCGACCCCTGGTGCTCTGGTCGACTCCTAGGTGCCTCCCGTCGACCACTGGGTCTCTCTGGTCGACCACACCTCCCGTCAAGCTACCCCTTGGTCGACGGACCCCCATCCGTCGATCGGAACTGTTCCGTCGTCCTCCCGGTCGAGCTGCAGTTCGACGGGACGCTCCGTTGACCTCCCCATCGAACTGTAGGTCGACGGATTGCTTCGTCGACCTCCCGGACGGTTCACCCGTCGCCCAGGCCAGTTAGGTGCAGCTGTCGAGCATCCTGGTCGATAGCAACACCACAGTGGTCTGCTGCAGCTCGACGTAATCTGTCGAGCAGCTATCCCACTGTGAGCAGTCGGCTGCTACTCCCGTACATCCGACCAAGTTGTCGGCGTTGCCCAAGCGAGGGCGAGGCCAACACTCCATTCTCGTTAACAGACGTGGACGTGGACGTGAACGTGGACGTGGACGTGGACGTCGACATGGACGAGGACGTGGACGTGGACGTGGACGTGGACATGGATCTGGACGTGCACGTGGACGTGGACGTGGACGTGAACGTGGACGTGGACGTCGACATGGACGTGGACGAGGACGTGGACGTGAACATGGACGTGCACGTGGACGTGGACGTGGACGTAAACATGGACGTGGACGTGAACGTGGACGTGGACGTCGACATGGACACGGACGTAGACGTGGACGTGGACATGGACGTGGACGTGTACTTGGAGGTGGACGTGGACATGGTCGTGGACGTGGACATGGACGTGGACGTGGACGTGGAGATGGTCGTGGACGTGGACGTGGACATGGACATGGACGTGGTCGTGGACGTGGACGTGGACGTGGACATGGTCGTGGACGTGGACGTGGACGTGGACATGAACGTGGAGATGGTCATGGACGTGGACGTGGACATAGACATCGACATGGACGTGGTCGTGGACGTGGACGTGGACGTGGACATGGACGTGGACGTGGACGTGGACGTGGACGTGAACGTGGACGTGGACGTCGACATGGACGTGGACGTGGACGTGGACGTGGACGTGAACGTGGACGTGGACGTTGACAACGACGTCGACGTCGACGTCGACGTGGACGTGGACGTGGACGTCGACATGGACGTGGACGTGGACGTGGACGTGGACATGGATGTGGACGTGGACATGGACGTGGACGTGGACATGGTCCTGGACGTGGACGAGGACGTGGACGTGGAGATGGTCGTGGACGTGGACGTGGACGTGGACATGGTCGTGGACGTGGACGTGGAGGACATGGACGTGGACGTGGACGTGGACATGGACGTGGATGTGGATGTGGACGTGGACGTGGACATGGACGTGGACGTGGACGTGGACGTGGACGTGGACGTGGACATGGACGTGGACGTGGACGTGGACGTGGACATGGTCGTGGACGAGGACGTGGACGTGGACCTGGACCTGGACGTGGACGTGGACCTGGACCTGGACGTGGACCTGGACATGGTCGTGGACGTGGACATGGTCGTGGACGTGGACGTGGAGATGGTCGTGGACGTGGACGTGGACGTGGAGGACTTGGACGTGGACGTGGACGTGGAGGACTTGGACGTGGACGTGGACGTGGACGTGGACATGGACGTGGACGTGGACGTGGACATGGACGTGGACATGGACGTGGACGTGGACGTGGACATGGACGTGGACGTGGACGTGGACATGGACGTGGACATGGACGTGGACATGGACGTGGACATGGACGTGGACGTCGACATGGACGTGAACGTGGACGTGGACGTGGACGTGAACGTGGACGTGGACGTGGACGTGGACGTGGACGTGGACGTGGACGTGGACATGGACGTGGACGTGGACGTGGACGTGGACGTGGACGTAGACATGGACGTGGACGTGGACGTGGACGTCGACATGGACGTGGACGTGGACGTGGACGTGGACATGGACGTGGACGTGGACGTGGAGGTGGACGTGGACATGGTCGTGGACGTGGACGTGGACGTGGACGTGGAGATGGTCGTGGACGTGGACGTGGACATAGACATGGACATGGACGTGGTCGTGGACGTGGACGTGGACATGGACATGGACGTGGACGTGGACGTGGACGTGAACGTGGACGTGGACGTCGACGTGGACGTGGACGTGGACGTGGACGTGGACGTGGACATGGACGTGGACGTGGACGTGGACGTGGATGTCGACGTGGACGTCGACGTCGACGTCGACGTGGACGTGGACGTGGACGTGGAGGTGGAGGTGGACGTGGACGTGGAGGTGGACGTGGACGTGGACGTGGACATGGACGTGGACATGGACGTGGACGTGGACGTGGACGTGGAGATGGTCGTGGACGTGGACGTGGACATGGACATGGACATGGACGTGGTCGTGGACGTGGACGTGGATGTGGACATGGATGTGGACATGGACGTGGACGTGGACGTGGACGTGGACGTGGACGTCGACATGGACGTGAACGTGGACGTGAACGTGGACGTGAACGTGGACGTGGACGTGGACGTGGACGTGGACGTGGACATGGACGTGGACGTGGACGTGGACGTGGACGTGGACGTGGATGTGGACATGGACGTGGACGTGGACGTGGACGTGGACGTTGTGGAGATTAACTCTACAACGGTAGTGAGCTAGACTACAGTTCCGTCGATCGGAACTGTTCCGTCGTCCTCCCGGTCGAGCTGCAGTTCGACGGGACGCTCCGTTGACCTCCCCATCGAACTGTAGGTGGACGGATTGCTTCGTCGACCTCCCGGACGGTTCACCCGTCGCCCAGGCCAGTTAGGTGCAGCTGTCGAGCATCCTGGTCGATAGCAACACCACAGTGGTCTGCTGCAGCTCGACGTAATCTGTCGAGCAGCTATCCCACTGTGAGCAGTCGGCTGCTACTCCCGTACATCCGACCAAGTTGTCGGCGTTGCCCAAGCGAGGGCGAGGCCAACACTCCATTCCCGTTAACAGACGTGGACGTGGACGTGAACATGGACGTGGACGTGGACGTCGACATGGACGAGGACGTGGACGTCGACGTGGACGTGGACGTGGACATGGACCTGGACGTGGACGTGGACGTGGACGTGGACGTGTACGTGGACGTGGACGTCGACATGGACGTGGACGAGGACGTGGACGAGAACATAGACGTGGACGTGGACGTGGACGTAAACATGGACGTGGACGTGAACGTGGACGTGGACGTCGACATGGACACGGACGTGGACGTGGACGTGGACATGGACGTGGACGTGTACTTGGAGGTGGACGTGGACATGGTCGTGGACGTGGACATGGACGTGGACGTGGACGTGGAGATGGTCGTGGACGTGGACGTGGACATGGACATGGACGTGGTCGTGGACGTGGACGTGGACGTGGACATGGACATGGTCGTGGACGTGGACGTGGACGTGGACATGAACGTGGAGATGGTCATGGACGTGGACGTGGACATGGACATCGACATGGACGTGGTCGAGGACGTGGACGTGGACGCGGACATGGACGTGGACGTGGACATGGACGTGGACGTGGACGTGAACGTGGACGTGGACGTCGACATGGACGTGGACGTGGACGTGGACGTGGACGTGAACGTGGACGTGGACGTGGACAACGACGTCGACGTCGACGTCGACGTGGACGTGGACGTCGACATGGACGTGGACGTGGACGTGGACGTGGACATGGATGTGGACGTGGACATGGACGTGGACGTGGACATGGTCGTGGACGTGGACGAGGACGTGGACGTGGAGATGGTCGTGGACGTGGACGTGGACGTGGACATGGTCGTGGACGTGGACGTGGAGGACATGGACGTGGACGTGGATGTGGACATGGACGTGGATGTGGATGTGGACGTGGACGTGGACATGGACGTGGACGTGGACGTGGACGTGGACGTGGACATGGACGTGGACGTGGACGTGGACGTGGACATGGTCGTGGACGAGGACGTGGACGTGGACCTGGACCTGGACGTGGACGTGGACCTGGACCTGGACGTGGACCTGGACATGGTCGTGGACGTGGACATGGTCGTGGACGTGGACGTGGAGATGGTCGTGGACGTGGACGTGGACGTGGAGGACTTGGACGTGGACGTGGACGTGGAGGACTTGGACGTGGACGTGGACTTGGACGTGGACGTGGACGTGGACGTGGACATGGACGTGGACGTGGACGTGGACGTGGACATGGACGTGGACGTGGACATGGACGTGGACGTGGACGTGGACATGGACGTGGACGTGGACGTGGACATGGTGGTGGACGTGGACGTGGACGTGGACCTGGACTTGGACGTGGACGTGGACGAGGACGTGGACATGGACGTGGACGTTGACGTGGACGTGGACGTGGACCTGGACGTGGACGTGGACGTGGACGTGGACATGGACGTGGACGTGGACGTGGACGTGGACGTGGACGTGAACGTAGACGTGGACGTGGACGTGGACGTGGACGTGGACATGGACTTGGACGTGGACGTGGACGTGGACGTGGACATGGACGTGGACATGGACGTGGACGTGGACGTGGACATGGACGTGGACGTGGACGTGGACATGGACATGGACGTGGACATGGACGTGGACGTGGACATGGACATGGACGTGGACATGGACGTGGACGTGGACGTGGACGTGGACATGGACGTAGACATGGACATGGACGTGGACATGGACGTGGACGTGGACATGGATATGGACGTGGACATGGACGTGGACGTGGACATGGACGTGGACGTGGACGTGGACGTGGACGTGGACGTAGACGTGGACGTGGACGTGGACATGGTCGTGGACGTGGACGTGGACGTGGACGTAGACGTGGACGTGGACGTGGAGATGGTCGTGGACGTGGACGTGGACGTGGAGGACTTGGACGTGGACGTCGACGTGGAGGACTTGGACGTGGACGTGGACTTGGACGTGGACGTGGACGTGGACATGGACGTGGACGTGGACGTGGACGTGGACATGGACGTGGACGTGGACATGGACGTGGACGTGGACGTGGACGTGGACGTGGACGTGGACGTGGACCTGGACATGGTGGTGGACGTGGACGTGGACGTGGACCTGGACCTGGACGTGGACGTGGACGTGGACGTGGACATGGACGTGGACGTCGACGTGGACGTGGACGTGGACCTGGACGTGGACGTGGACGTGGACGTGGACGTGGACATGGACGTGGACGTGGACGTAAACGTAGACGTGGACGTGGACGTGGACGTGGACGTGGACATGGACTTGGACGTGGACGTGGACGTGGACGTGGACATGGACGTGGACATGGACGTGGACATGGACGTGGACATGGACGTGGACGTGGACGTGGACATGGACATGGACGTGGACATGGACGTGGACGTGGACATGGACATGGACGTGGACATGGACGTGGACGTGGACGTGGACGTGGACATGGACGTGGACATGGACATGGACGTGGACATGGACGTGGACGTGGACATGGACATGGACGTGGACATGGACGTGGACGTGGACATGGACGTGGACGTGGACGTGGACATGGACGTGGACGTAGACGTGGACGTGGAGATGGTCGTGGACGTGGACGTGGACGTGGAGGACTTGGACGTGGACGTGGACGTGGAGGACTTGGACGTGGACGTGGACTTGGACGTGGACGTGGACGTGGACGTGGACATGGACGTGGACGTGGACGTGGACGTGGACATGGACGTGGACGTGGACATGGACGTGGACGTGGACGTGGACATGGACGTGGACGTGGACGTGGACATGGTGGTGGACGTGGACGTGGACGTGGACCTGGACTTGGACGTGGACGTGGACGAGGACGTGGACATGGACGTGGACGTTGACGTGGACGTGGACGTGGACCTGGACGTGGACGTGGACGTGGACGTGGACATGGACGTGGACGTGGACGTGGACGTGGACGTGGACGTGAACGTAGACGTGGACGTGGACGTGGACGTGGACGTGGACATGGACTTGGACGTGGACGTGGACGTGGACGTGGACATGGACGTGGACATGGACGTGGACGTGGACGTGGACATGGACGTGGACGTGGACGTGGACATGGACATGGACGTGGACATGGACGTGGACGTGGACATGGACATGGACGTGGACATGGACGTGGACGTGGACGTGGACGTGGACATGGACGTAGACATGGACATGGACGTGGACATGGACGTGGACGTGGACATGGACATGGACGTGGACATGGACGTGGACGTGGACATGGACGTGGACGTGGACGTGGACGTGGACGTAGACGTGGACGTGGACGTGGACATGGTCGTGGACGTGGACGTGGACGTGGACGTAGACGTGGACGTGGACGTGGAGATGGTCGTGGACGTGGACGTGGACGTGGAGGACTTGGACGTGGACGTCGACGTGGAGGACTTGGACGTGGACGTGGACTTGGACGTGGACGTGGACGTGGACGTGGACATGGACGTGGACGTGGACGTGGACATGGACGTGGACGTGGACATGGACGTGGACGTGGACGTGGACGTGGACGTGGACGTGGACGTGGACCTGGACATGGTGGTGGACGTGGACGTGGACCTGGACCTGGACGTGGACGTGGACGTGGACGTGGACATGGACGTGGACGTCGACGTGGACGTGGACGTGGACCTGGACGTGGACGTGGACGTGGACGTGGACGTGGACATGGACGTGGACGTGGACGTAAACGTAGACGTGGACGTGGACGTGGACGTGGACGTGGACATGGACTTGGACGTGGACGTGGACGTGGACGTGGACATGGACGTGGACATGGACGTGGACGTGGACGTGGACATGGACGTGGACGTGGACGTGGACATGGACATGGACGTGGACATGGACGTGGACGTGGACATGGACATGGACGTGGACATGGACGTGGACGTGGACGTGGACGTGGACATGGACGTGGACATGGACATGGACGTGGACATGGACGTGGACGTGGACATGGACATGGACGTGGACATGGACGTGGACGTGGACATGGACGTGGACGTGGACGTGGACATGGACGTGGACGTAGACGTGGACGTGGACGTGGACATGGTCGTGGACGTGGACGTGGACCTGGACGTGGACGTGGACGTGGACGTGGACATGGACGTGGACGTCGACGTGGACGTGGACGTGGACCTGAACATGGACGTGGACGTGGACGTGGATGTGAACGTGGACGTGGACGTCGACATGGACGTGGACGTGGACGTGGACGTGAACGTGGACGTGGACGTGGACGTCGACGTCGACGTGGACGTGGACCTGGACGTGGACGTGGACGTGGACGTGGACGTGGACGTGGACATGGACGTGGACTTGGACTTGGACGTGGACGTGGATGTGGACGTGGTCGTGGACATTGACGTGGACGTGGACGTGGACGTGGACATGGACGTGGACGTGGACATGGTCGTGGACGTGGATGTGGACGTGGACATTGTCGTGGACGAGGACGTGGAGGACTTGGACGTGGACATGGACGTGGACGTGGACATGGACGTGGACTTGGACATGGACGTGGATGTGGACGTGGACGTGGACATGGACGTGGACGTGGAGGACTTGGACATGGACATGGACATGGACATGGACGTGGACATGGACGTGGACATGGACGTGGACGTGGACGTGGACGTGGACATGGACGTGGACATGGACGTGGACCTGGACGTGGACCTGGACGTGGACGTGGACATGGACGTGGACGTGGACGTGGACGTGGACGTGGACATGGACGTGGCATGGACGTGGACGTGGACGTAAACGCGGACGTGAACGTGGACATGGACGCGGACGTGGACGTCGACGTGGACATGGACGTGGACCTGGACGTGGACGTGGACGTGGACGTGAACGTGGACGTGGACATGGACGTGAACGTAGACGTGGACGTGGACGTGGACGTGGACGTGGACGTCGACGTCGACGTCCACGTGGACATGGACATGGACGTGGACGTGGACGTGGACGTGGACATGGACGTGGACGTCGACGTGGACGTGGACGTGGACCTGAACATGGACTTGGACGTGGACGTGGATGTGAACGTGGACGTGGACGTCGACATGGACGTGGACGTGGACGTGGACGTGAACGTGGACGTGGACGTAGACGTGGACGTCGACGTGGACGTGGACGTGGACGTGGACGTGGACGTGTAGGTGGACGTGGACATGGACGTGGACTTGGACTTGGACGTGGACGTGGATGTGGACGTGGTCGTGGACATTGACGTGGACGTAGACGTGGACGTCGACATGGACGTGGACGTGGACATGGTCGTGGACGTGGATGTGGACGTGGACATGGTCGTGGACGAGGACGTGGAGGACTTGGACGTGGACATGGACGTGGACGTGGACATGGACGTGGACTTGGACATGGACGTGGATGTGGACGTGGACGTGGACATGGACGTGGACGTGGAGGACTTGGACATGGACATGGACATGGACATGGACGTGGACATGGACGTGGACATGGACGTGGACGTGGACGTGGACGTGGACGTGGACATGGACGTGGACATGGACGTGGACGTGGACGTGGACCTGGACGTGGACGTGGACATGGACGTGGACGTGGACGTGGACATGGACGTGGCATGGACGTGGACGTGGACGTGGACGTGAACGTGGACGTGAACGTGGACATGGACGAAGACGTGGACGTGGACGTGGACATGGACGTGGACCTGGACGTGGACGTGGACGTGAACGTGGACGTGGACATGGACGTGAACGTAGACGTGGACGTGGACGTGGACGTGGACGTGGACGTCGACGTGGACGTGGACGTGGACATGGACATGGACGTGGACGTGGACGTGGACATGGATATGGACGTGGACGTGGACGTGGACATGGATATGGACGTAGACGTGAACGTGGACGTGGACGTGGACATGGACATGGACGTGGACGTGGACGTGGACATTGATGTGGACGTGGACGTGACCGTGGACGTGGACGTCGACATGGACGTGGACATGGACGTGGACATGGACATGGACATGGACGTGGAGGTTGACGTGGACGTGGACGTGAACGTGGACGTGGACATAGACGTGGACGTGGACGTGGACGTGGACGTAGACGTGGACGTGGATGTGGACGTGGACGTGGAGGTCGACATGGACGTGGAGGTGGACGTGGACGTGGACATGGACGTGGACGTGGACGTGGAGGTGGGCGTGGACATGGTCGTGGACGTGGACGTGGACGTGGACGTAGAGATGGTCGTGGACGTGGACGTGGACATAGACATGGACATGGACGTGGTCGAGGACGTGGACATGGACGTGGACGTGGACGTGGACGTGGACGTGAACGTGGACGTGGACGTCGACATGGACGTGGACGTGGACGTGGACGTGGACATGGACGTGGACGTGGACGTGGACGTGGACGTCGACATGGACGTGGAAGTGGACGTCGACGTGGACGTCGACATCGACGTGGACGTGGACGTGGACGTGGACATGGATGTGGACGTGGACATGGACGTGGACATGGAGGTGGACATGGACATGGACGTAGACGTGGACGTGGACGTGGAGGTGGACGTGGAGGTGGACGTGGACGTGGACATGGACGTGGACGTGGACATGGACATGGACGTAGACATGGACGTGGTCGTGGACGTGGACGTGGTCGTGGACGTGGACATGGACGTGGACGTGGACGTGGACATGGACGAGGACGTGGACGTGGACGTGGACGAGGACGTGGACGTGGACGTGGACGTGGACGTGGACGTGGACATGGACGTGGACGTGGACGTGGACGTGGACGTGGACGTGGACGTGGACATGGACATGGACATGGACGTGGACATGGACGTTGACATGGACATCGACGTGGACGTGGACATGGACGTGGACGTGGACGTGGACGTGGACATGGACGTGGACGTGGACGTGGACGTCGACGTGGACGTGGACATGGACGTGGACGTGGACGTGGACAAGGACGTGGACGTGGACGTGGACGTGGACTGGACGTGAACGTGGACGTGGACGTGGACGTGGACGTGGACGTGGACGTGGACATGGACGTGGACGTGGACGTGGACATGGTCGTAGACGTAGACGTGGACGTGGACGTGGACGTGGTCCTGGTCGTGGACGTGGTCGTGGTCGAGCTCCTAGACCATGCAAGCTCCTGGACCAGGCAAGCTCCTAGACCAGGCAAGCTCCTGGACCACGCAAGCTCTTGGACAAGGCAAGCTCTTGGACCAGGCAAGCTCCTAGACCAGGCAAGCTCCTGGACCAGGCAAGCTCCTGGACAAGGCAAGCTCCGGGACCAGGCAAGCTGCGGGACCAGGCAAGCTCCTGGACCAGGCACACTCATGGACCAGGCAAGCTCCTAGACCACGCAAGCTCTTGGACTAGGCACAGTCCTGGACCAGGCAAGCTCTTGGACCAGGCAGGCTTCTGGACCAAGCAAGCTCCTGGACCAAACAAGCTCCTGGACAAGGCAAGCTCGTGAACTAGGCACGCTTTTGGACCCGGCAAGCTCCTGGACCAAGCTTGCTCGTGGACCAGGCACGCTCCAGGACCACGCACGCTCCTGGTCAGGCAAGCTCCTAGACCAGGCAAGCTCCTAGACCACGCAAGCTCGTGGACCAGGTACGCTCCTGGACCAGGCAAGCTCCTTGACCAGGCAAGCTCCTGGACCACGCATGCTCGTGGACCAGGCACGCTCTTGGACCAGGCAAGCTCCTGGACCAGGCAAGCTCGTGGACCACGCAAGCTCTTGGATCAGGCAGGCTTCAGGACCAAGCTAGCTCCTCGACCAGGCAAGCTCGTGGACCAGGCAAGCTTCTGGACCAGGCAAGCTCTTGGATCAGGCAAGCTCTTGGACCAGGCAAGCTCTTGGACCAGGCAAGCTCCTGCACCAGGCAAGCTCTTGGAACATGCAAGCTCCTGGACCAGGCAAGCTCCTCGAACAGGCAAGCTCTTGGACCAGGAAAGCTCCTGGACCAGGCAAGCTCCTGGACCAGGCAAGCTAATGGACCATAAAAGCTCCTGGACAAGGCAAGCTCCTGGAGGAGACACCCTCCTGGAACACGCAAGCTCCAGGACCAGGCACGCTCCTGGACCAGGCAAGCTCTTGGAGCAGGCAAGCTCCTGGACCAAGCAAACTCGTGGACCAGGCACGCTCCTGGACGAGGCAAGCTCCTGGACCAGGCAAGCTCCTAGACTACGCAAGCTCTTGGACCAGGCAAGCACTTGGACCGGGCAAGCTCTTGGACCAGGCAAGCTCCTGGACCAGGCAAGCTCCTGGACAAGGCAAGCTCCTTGAACAGGCAAGCTCGTGGACCAGGCACGCTCCTGGACCAGGCAAGCTCCTAGACCAGGCAAGCTCTTGGACTAGGCTACTGAACCAGGCAAGCTCTTGGACCAGGCAAGCTTCTGGAACAAGCAAGCTCCTGGACCAGGCACATTCTTGGACCAGGCAAGCTCCTGGACGAGGCAAGCTCCTGGACCAGGCAAGCTTTTGGACCAGGCAAGCTCCTGGACAAGGCAAGCTCTTGGACCAGGCACGCTTCTGGAACAGGCAAGCTACTGGACTAGCCAGGCTCCTAGACCAGGCAAGCTCCTGGACCAGGCAAGCTTGTGGACCAGGCAAGCTCTTGGACCAGGCAAGCTCGTGGACCAGGCCAGCTCTTGGACGAGGCAAGCTCCTGGACCAGGCAAGCTCTTGGACCTGGCAAGTTCTTGGACCAGGCACACTCCTGGACCAGGCAAGCTCATGGACCAGGCAAGCTCCTTCACCAGGCAAGCTCGTGGACTAGGCAAGCTTCTGGACCAGGCAAGCTCGTCGACCAGGCACGCTCCTGGACCACGCAAGCTCCTGGACTAGGCAAGCTCCTCTACCAGGCAAGATCCTGGACGAGGCACGCTCCTGGACCAGGCACGCTCCTAGACCAGGCAAGCTCCTAGACCTTGCAAGCTCCACGACTAAGCAAGCTCCTGGACTAGGCAAGCTCCTTGACCAGGGAAGCTCCCGGACCATGCAAGCTCCAGGACAAGGCAAGCTCCTGGACCAGGCAAGCTCCTCGACCAGGCAAGCTCTTGGACCAGTCAAGCTCCTAGACCAAGCGAGCTCTTGGATCAGGCACGCTTGTGGACCAGGCAAGCTCTTGGACCAGGCAAGCTCCTGGACCAGGCAAGCTCCTGGAACATGCAAGCTCCTGGACCATGCAAGCTCCTGGAGCAGGCAAGCTCTTGAACTAGGAATGCTCAAGGACCAGGAAAGCTCCTAGACCAAGCAAGCTCCTCGACCTTGCAAGCTCCTGGACCAGGCACGCTCCTGGAACAGGCAAGCTCCTGGACCAGGCAAGCTCGTGGACCAGAGCTCCTGGACCATGCAAGCTCGTGGACTAGGCAAGCTCCTGGACCAGGCAAGCTCCTGGATGAGGCAAACTTCAGGACCAGGCAAGCTCTTGGACGAGGCACGCTCTTGGACCAAGCAAGATCTTGGACCAGGCAAGCTCCAGGACCAGGCAAGCTCCTAGAACATGCATTCTCCAGGAAGAGGCAAGCTCTTGGACCAGGCAAGCTCTTGGACCAGGATGGCTCTTGGACCACGCAAGCTCCTGGACCAGGCACGCTCCTAGACCATGCAAGCTCCTAGACAAGGCAAGCTCCTGGACCAGGCAAGCTTCCGGACCAGGCAAACTCGTGGACCAGACATGCTCCTAGACCACGCAAGCTCCTGACCAGGCAAGCTCCTAGACCAAGCAAGCTCCTGGACCACGCAAGCACTTGGACCAGGCAAGCTCTTGGACCAGGCAAGCTCCTGGACCAGGCAAGCTCCTGGAACACGCAAGCTCCTGGACCACGCAAGCTCTTGGACCAGGCAAGCTCCTTCACCAGGCAAGCTCGTGGACTAGGCAAGCTTCTGGACCAGGCAAGCTCGTCGACCAGGCACGCTCCTGGACCACGCAAGCTCCTGGACTAGGCAAGCTCCTCTACCAGGCAAGATCCTGGACGAGGCACGCTCCTGGACCAGGCACGCTCCTAGACCAGGCAAGCTCCTGGACCTTGCAAGCTCCACGACTAAGCAAGCTCCTGGACCAGGCAAGCTCCTTGACCAGGGAAGCTCCCGGACCATGCAAGCTCTAGGACAAGGCAAGCTCCTGGACCAGGCAAGCTCCTCGACCAGGCAAGCTCTTGGACCAGTCAAGCTCCTAGACCAAGCGAGCTCTTGGATCAGGCACGCTTGTGGACCAGGCAAGCTCTTGGACCAGGCAAGCTCCTGGACCAGGCAAGCTCCTGGAACATGCAAGCTCCTCGACCATGCAAGCTCCTGGAGCAGGCAAGCTCTTGAACTAGGAATGCTCATGGACCAGGAAAGCTCCTAGACCAAGCAAGCTCCTCGACCTTGCAAGCTCCTGGACCAGGCACGCTCCTGGAACAGGCAAGCTCCTGGACCAGGCAAGCTCGTGGACCAGAGCTCCTGGGCCATGCAAGCTCGTGGACTAGGCAAGCTCCTGGACCAGGCAAGCTCCTAGATGAGGCAAACTTCAGGACCAGGCAAGCTCTTGGACGAGGCACGCTCTTGGACCAAGCAAGATCTTGGACCAGGCAAGCTCCAGGACCAGGCAAGCTCCTAGAACATGCATTCTCCAGGAAGAGGCAAGCTCCTGGACCAGGCAAGCTCTTGGACCAGGATAGCTCCTGGACCACGCAAGCTCCTGGACCAGGCACGCTCCTAGACCATGCAAGCTCCTAGACAAGGCAAGCTCCTGGACCAGGCAAGCTTCCGGACCAGGCAAACTCGTGGACCAGACATGCTCCTAGACCACGCAAGCTCCTGACCAGGCAAGCTCCTAGACCAAGCAAGCTCCTGGACCACGCAAGCACTTGGACCAGGCAAGCTCTTGGACCAGGCAAGCTCCTGGACCAGGCAAGCTCCTGGAACACGCAAGCTCCTGGACCACGCAAGCTCTTGGACCATGCACGCTCCTGGACCACGCAAGCTCTTGGACCAGGCAGGCTTCTGGACCAAGCAAGCTCTTGGACCAGGCAAACTCCTGGACCAAGCAAGCTCCTGGACCAGGCAAGCTCCTGGACCAAGCACGCTCGTGGACCATGCACGCTCTTGGACTAGGCAAGCTCTTCAACCAGGCAGGCTCGTGGACCAGGCAAGCTCCTGGACCAGGCAAGCTCCTGGACCAGGCATGATCGTGGACCATGCACGCTCTTGGACCACGCAAGCTCTTGGACCAGGAAGGCTCGTGGACCAGGCAAGCTCCTGGACCAGGCAAGCTCCTATACCAGGCAAGCTCTTGGACCAGGAAGGCCCGTGGGCCAGGCAAGCTCCTAGACCAGGCAAGGTCCTGGACCACGCACGCTCCTGGACCAGGCACGCTCTTGGACAAGGCACGCTCCTAGACCAGGCAAGCTCCTGGACCAAGCACGCTCGTGGACCATGCACGCTCTTGGACCAGGCAAGCTCTTGGACCACGAAGGCTCGTGGACCAGGCAAGCTCCTGGACCAGGCAAACTCCTAGACCAGGCAAGCTCTTGGACCGGGAAGGCTCGTGGACCACGCAGGCTCCTGGATCAGGCAAGCTCCTGGACCAGGCAAGCTCCTGGACCAGGCAAGCTCCTGGACCAGGCAAGCTCCTCGACCACGCAAGCTCTTGGAAAATGCAAGCTCTTGGACCAGGCACGCTCCTGGACGAGGCAAGCTATTGGACCAAGCAGGCTTCTGGACCAAGCAAGCTATTGGACCAATTTTGCACACGCTAGACCCTTGTTCTTGCAATTTTGCACACGCTATGCCCTTGTTCTTGCAATTTTGCACACGCTATGCCCTTGTTCTTGCTTTTTTGCACACGCTAGACCCTTGTTCTTGCTATTTTGCACACGCTAGACCCTAGTTCTTGCAATTTTGCACACGCTAGGCCCTTGTTCTTGCGATTTTGCACATGCTAGCCTCTTTTTCTTGCTATTTTGCACACACTAGGCCCTTGTTCTTGCAATTTTGCACACACTAGGCCATTGTTCCTGAAATTTTGCACACGCTAGGCCCTTGTTCTTGCTATTTTGCACACGCTAGGCCCTTGTTCTTGCAATTTTGCACACGCTAGGCCCTTGTTCTTGCAATTTCGCACACGCTAGACCCTTGTTCTTGCAATTTTGCACACGCTATGCCCTTGTTCTTGCAATTTTGCACACGCTATGCCCTTGTTCTTGCTTTTTTGCACACGGTAGACCCTTCTTCTTGCTATTTTGCACACACTAGACCCTTGTTTTTGCAATTTTGCACACGCTATGCCCTTGTTCTTGCTATTTTGCACACGCTAGCCCCTTTTTCTTGCTCTTTTGCACACGCTAGGCCCTTGTTCTTGCTATTTTGCACACGCTAGCCCCTTTTT